CTGATGGGTGCATGTGTAGAACCTCTTCAGTATCGAAGCAGGGCAGGGTTGTAGATGTTAGTGCCTATTTCTGTATAAGAAAATGAGATTCTGAATGTGTTGAGAACCTCAGTTACAAAATAGATGTAATGATCTAAGGAAATATTTCCAGATTTTAATCTGTTTCCCTCTTCCTTTGTAAGCACTTTGAGACTGACACCCAGGATCTTGTTGGGATCGAGTGGGCTCCCAATGGCTGTGTGCTGGCTGTGTGGGACACCTGTCTGGAGGTATAAAAAATGACCCTGTAAACACTTTCTCTTCTAAGAACTTTTACCAATAACATACTTACCTAATGTTTTTTGAATGCTGCGATTTGGTTGACTTATCATATTTCAGATGTTGAGTTGAAGAACTTTCATCAGCAAGTCATTAGCTTTATACCCCTTTGCCCTCTTTGCACAGTGCTTGCACTTTGGTGTGCTGGTTTTGATTTATTCACTAGAGGGCAATGCAGTGATATCAGTGTTCTCTCATCTGTGCACCAGGACAGTCTTGACTGCACACTCTACTGACTGACTCCCCACTGTCCGGGCAGTCCTGCTCTGTGGTGGCTCTGTCCCTGGTGACTCAGGTCCCTGTGATGTTTAAATAACAACTGCAATGTCTTGTCTAGTATAAGATCCTGCTGTACTCTTTGGATGGCCGGTTGCTGTCAACCTACTGTGCATACGAGTGGTCCCTAGGCATCAAGTCTGTGGCCTGGAGCCCCAGCAGCCAGTTCTTGGCGGTTGGAAGTTACGACGGAAAGGTGGGACTTGGTAGTGTTTGCGGTTAAAACCTGTCCATCAGGACTGCCTGCATGGTTTGGGGTGCAAGGGGTCACAGTGGTGCTAACACTTGCTTCATGGTGTTCTTTAACCAGGTGCGCATTTTGAATCATGTGACTTGGAAGATGATCACGGAGTTTGGGCATCCTGCGACCATTAACAATCCCAAGATCGTAAGTGTGGCATTGTGTGTTTCTGGCTGAGCAGTATTATTGGAGTGGAGATAGGAAACTGCTCTTTCTCTTTACATTATATATTGATATATTATTTAATCCAGGTCTTGAATCATCGTAAACGCTTAACGATACAATTCAGATCTCATGCTCTACTCATGATCTTCCATTTTGCTTTACCACGGTCCCCAAAGGAAGTGGTGTCCTTGCCCTTAGCTTTTTCTTCACTCCTTCCCTCCCTACAAATGTCTTGTTCTTGGGTCTCTCTATGGATTAGTTCTTGCTTTCTATGGATTAGACCAGATGTCTGGCTGCAACATACACCTGCGTGTCTACTGTCCTGCTTGGCACTGGGCTCTGGGCTCACAGCCTGAGAAGAGTGGGAGGACAGACTCAGCAGGGATGGGCAGGGGGTGCCAGGACTGGAGGAGCTGGGTGTCAGTAGTGTGTTAGAGCAGAAATAGGAGAGAAACGAGGACACAGGAGAGAAGTGATGCCATCACCTGGGGAAGATGTGTGTCGGGCAGAGGGGACAGGGAGTGCAGAGGCCCTGGGGTGAGTGTGCATCTGTTCTTGAGGGCTGTTGTGGGCCAGGTACTGCTCTAGGTGCTAAGACATAGCAGTGACAGAGAATGACAAAATCCCAGCCCTGGTGGACTTCTCCTTCTAGCAGAGGGGCCAGCCAGGGAATAAGATGCCCAGGTGTGCTAGGAGGAAAGTCACTGGGGTACATGTAGCAGCTTAGGTGAAGGGGGCTGGAGGAGGAGAGGAGCAGGCCAGGCAATGCTGGGGAAAGGCCATTCTTCAAAGGTCCAGTGGAGGCTGGTGTGCCTCACCCAGGGGAGCAAGGGAAGTAGCATGGAAGGTGAGGTCAGAGTGCATGGGGCTCGGCTAGGCAGCCCTGACAAGGCTTGCCTTTTATTCTTAATTTTTTCCAAAGTCATTCACCACAGTTTAGTCAGAACACATTTTTTAAAAGCCCTTACTTCTGGGCTCTTCAGGCATGAGGCCCCTGCCTCTGAGCTGAGCCTTTTTAGGGCCCGGGCCTCTCAAGACTCCCCTGCTTCTCTCTCCCTCCCACTCCTGGCCACTGTCTGTCTCCGCGCTTGGTTTCTGGGATCCCTTATCCAGACAAGTGCACTGGGTGTGCTGTGTCGTGTTCCCCCTCCCTGCCACCACGTGGTTTTCTCTTTGTCTGTACCTTCCTCAGGAAGCTGGCCAGGAATCAAGGTTTTGAATGGTGACCTAGAGTGAATATGCATTTCCTTATTTTAGACTGGGTCTTTTGGACCTAATTTTTTGAATGTTGTTTCTCAACACAATACAATTCTTTATTTGTTACACTATGGAGAACTAATTAAATGGTGTTAGGAAAAATAAATGTGCAATCCCCATATGGCTGAGTGGATACAGCATACTCCTTTGTGAGGAGGTCTGTTAGTCTAATGCAGGTTGGGGTCAGCATCTCTCTCTTCCCTCAGCAGTAATGGCAGTTAGTGCCTTCAAGCAGACACAGCACACTCCTTTGTGAGGGGTCTGTTGTCTAACACTGGGGTGGGGTCAGTGTCTCCTCACTTTTCCCGTCTGTGTTGGGCATCTGTCCTCCAGGTGCTCCCATATGCGTTTGTAAGCCTGATGCTGATGACAGCTGTGCTTTGTCTCTCAGATTGTCTATAAGGAAGCAGAGAAAAATCCGAAGCTGGGGCTGGAGGGCCTTCCCTTCCCACCCCTGAGAGCAGCAGCCAGGCCTCTCTCTACCACAGAGACGAAATGTAAGCAGCAGAAGGAATTTTTGCGTGAAAGTGAATCCATCTTGTCTAAGTAACTTTTAGGTGGTCTTTAATAACACACAAACACACACACACACAGTTTTCCTGTGTCACATCTAGCCAGTGTCTCTCAGCTCATTAATCAGTCTTGAGATTATGTGGCATTTGTAAGGTCTGGAAATCCAGATTTGTTCGCTGATACTTGGAGGGCGCTGTTTGTAAATTAATGGTAGGGTTTCCTAGTTGAGGTAGGAAGGGGATCAGGAGGCTGTTGGGGTGAAGGATCAGACTGGGTTGCCAACTGGTTTGAATCCTGGCTGTGTGAATCCTGGCTTCCCCATCTATAAAATGGACACAATGGAAGACCTGCCCTACCTCATAAAGACACTGATGGATGCTAAGATACAGGGAACACCTAGAACAGCAGCTGGCCCTTCCCAGGGCTCCAGAAATACTGGTACACTGGGGAGAGGTCTGGAGCACTGTAGCATGCCATACCTGGGCCAGCTTCAGAACTTGTCAGAGCCTCCACTTCTGGGTTTTTTTTTTGTCTCATAAATATTTTTATTATATTTATTTGTTAAATTCAGTTGGTTGATATGTCTCATAGCCACCAGTTGCTGTTGAGTCAGTTCTGATTCATGGGATTGTATGTATGTCATATGTGTCAGAATAGAACTGTTCTCCATAGGGTTTTTTTTGTTTGTTTTTTTTTTTTTAATTGTGGCTTGGGTGAAAGTTTACAGAGCAAATTAGTTTTCCATTCAACAATTTATACACATCTGGTTTTGTAACATTAGTTGCAATTCCATAGCCACTATTTCTGATCTTAACACAGCCTTTTCTATGTTGGGAAAGTCTAAAGTCAGAAGGGTGAAGGGGAGGTTGAAACAGATTATAAACTAAGAAGTCAGGAGAGAGAGATGCTGAACGTCAGAGCTATCTGAGCTGCATTGCTTAAGTGTCGGGCACCCCTTCCCAGCTCACCAGGCTTCAGGGGAGGAGATTACCTTTAGGTTCTTAAGCAGCTCAGGGATGGCCCCCTGGGGAGGGGTAGGCAGGCCTTTTACCACACCAGGCCCTTTATTTGGCTAATGTATCCTGCAGGTTCTTTGTTCAGGGTCAGTTTTCCTTCCCTGAACATCAGTAGTTGAGGATCCAGAGCTTCCTCCTCCTGCCTGTGGGCGGGGCTCATCCTCACAGGGGGCTCAGGTGCCAGCCTCAATGTAGAGATTGCAGTGTGACTATTCCTCCTCTTTTCCAGATGAGATTGCCTCCCTGCCAGTCTCTCTGCAGACCCTGAAACCTGTCACTGACAGAGCAAACCCCAGGATTGGTGTTGGCATGCTGGCGTTTAGCTCTGACAACTACTTCCTGGCAACAAGGAATGGTCAGTGCGTGAGGCTGTGGGTGGCGTGTGTGTGTCAGGTCTGGCCACTGGTTCCTGTGGTACTAGGTGTGCTCATGATTCGAAAAGGAAATTGCGTAACAGGGTGTTAAGGATTGAATTATGTCCCCCAAAAATGTTTTGTAAATCCTAATCTCTATGCTAGGAGCTCTGGTGGCATAGTGCCTAAGGCATTTGACTGCTAACCAGAAGGCTGGCAGTTCAA